ACCACTCCCACCCTCGCTCGCCTCTACTGGCTCCCCATCTCCCAGAGGATCGAATTCAAGATCCTCATCCTCACCTACAAGGCCATTCACGGCCTTGCTCCCTCCTACCTCTCCGACCTACTATCCCCCTATCTACCTGCCCGTACCCTCCGTTCCTCTGGCTCTGGTCTGCTCCACATCCCCCGCCCCAACCGCCCTACCATCGGTGGCCGGGCCTTCAGCCTCTCAGCCCCTAGGCTCTGGAACTCTATCCCCAGTGCCTTCGCCGCCTCCTCCCTTTCCTCCTTCAAGGCCGGTCTCAAGACCTTTCTCTTTGACCGTGCCTTCAGCTCCCCTCTCGACTCTCTTCCCCTCCTCGCTCCCTCCCTTCCCTCCCCTCATCCTGACCATTTCCCCCCAATGCTCGGGTCCTGACCCAACTTTACAGCGCCTTGGGACGTCCTCCCGATGTGACAGGCTCTCTATAAATGGAATCTTGTTGTTGTTGTTGTCGATGTCTGACAGACATTCTGTCAGGACAGCAGTGGTCCTGGAGTTGAGGGTGGAGGCAGAGAGATAGAGTTACGTGTTATCCTCATACGTGTGGAAATTGACCTCATGTCTGCGGATGATGTCATCAAGAGGGATCATATAGATATTGAAAAGGAGGGGATCACAGACAGCTCTGAGGAACGCCACATGAGATGGTCCGGGGCTAGAGGAGAAACCGTTTGTGGTGATGAAGTGGAGACGTAGGATCTGAACCATTCAAGGACAGAACCATAAAGGTTGAGATGAGAGGGAAGGTGGTGGAGGAGGATAGAGTGACCCGCAGCATCGAACGTAGTAGAGAGGTCAAGGAGGTAAAGGGAGCCCCGGTCGCAGATGGACAAATTGTCATTTGTCACTTTGACCAAAGCTGCTTCTGTGCTGTGGGTGGCACGGAAACCCAATTTGTGTGGTTCGTGAAGGCAGTGGCGGGAGAGGAAGGAGTGAAGCTGGGAAGCAACAACTCGCTCCAGGACCTTGGAAAGGAAAGGGAGGATGGAAATAGGGTGGTAGTTTGAGAGCAGGGATGGGTCCAGGGAGGGATTTTTAAGGATAGGAGTGATGACGATTGTTTTTAGAGGCGTGGAAATGGTGCCAGTGGACAGGGAGAGGTTTATGATGTCTATGAATGGGGGTGGGGGGAGGTGGCGGGGGGGCAAGGAGGTGGTCGGAAGGGCAAAGGCAGCTGAGTGGATCCCCTTAACTTTGGTTTCGAGCAATTCCAGCATCTCCTAGCAGTGGGTGTTGGAGGAGAGGATGGGTGAGGTGTGAGAGGGTGGGCCGAGGAGCTGGTTGGTGATGGAGAAACTTGGGGCTGTCCTTGGCCTCCAAGATTTTCTTGGAGTAGAAGGACGATTTAGCGGTGGTGAGGACGGAGCAATAAGATTTGATAAGGTCCAGCAAGATCTGCCGAGGGGATTGTTAAGTTAGATTTGAGGCAGGTCCATTCAGCGGCATGCACCTGAGCCTTAAGGGAGCAGAGTTGGCTGGTGTACCAGGGTGACTTCCAGGAGTAGGAGACGGTTCAGGAAGTGAGGGGTTCTTCGTGACATGAATAGGCATGGGATCAAGTGTAAGGATTATTATGTTAAATTGCGGCATTACTCATGCCATTAGATATGACTATTCTTTAGATGAGATGTTATACCAAGGTCCTGTCTGTTAAAGATCCCCTGGCATTATTTGAAAAGGAAAAGGAGTTTTCCTCAGTATCTTGGCTAATAATCTTTCAGGTATAAAATTGGTCATTCGCTTCATTGGATGTTTGTGAGACAACGTGGCGTGCAAATTGGCTGCCTATACTTTACAGTAAAATTCAGTGAAGCACTTTGAGACATTTTAACGTGATAAGGCGCTATATCAAATGCATGGATTATTACAACAACAACAAGATTACATTTATATAGCGCCTTTCACGTCGGGAGGACGTCCCAAGGCGCTGGACAGTGTACAGCATTTCAGATTTATTATATTATTATATATTATATCAAATGCAATAAGTTTGTTATTATTAAAGCAGGGTGCTTCTGTGAGTCAGCGGAAGGAGGGAGCAGAAGAGTGGAGTAGGAAGAGATCTCAGAGTTAAAGACGTACTAGGGTGAAGAGATTTATAGGAGAGGGTGAGGACCTTGAATTCAATCCATTGGAGAAAATGGGGCCTGGAGTGGACCAGGT